TGAAAATATTCTCTCCTCGGTGTCAACTGTTGAGCACTTGAGACGCTCTGTCATTTAGGGCCCTCCCTAATTTCCAAAGATGTAGCTTTGAACTGGAGATAGAAGAAGAATTATACAGTAGAAGAACTGCCTTATGATAAAAAATGAACAGAGCCAATTTATGTCAAACTTGGCCAAGAAATGAGTAAATTCAAGCTTGTTTGAGACAGGCGGGTTCTATTCCTATATTATTTGACTGCAACTAGTGATTTTTTACTTTCATATTCCATGGTAATAATAGAAATTTTTTCTTATTTATTTTATTTATTTTTAGAATGGAAGGCAATGTAGCATTCAATTTATTTTAATTCCTACACTTTATTTATAGGGAAACTGAAACAGATTAATTGATATGCTCAATGTCCAGCAGTGAATTTGTATAGTATCTGCCACCTGGACAGCTCTACCTGGTTGAACTACAGACACCTAAAGCAACATGAAATCCCATCCCTTTTCCTAGTCTGTTCCTCCTGTTCTGTTTCCTCCTATGGTGTCACTCAAGGCAGAAACCTGGGAAGTATTTTCAACTCCTTCTATCTTATCAGTACCAGTATGACCAGCTCAACTTCTTAAATGCCCAGCAAATCAATCTCCTCCTCTCTTACTTAATTGCTATGACCCGGGCTGACCCCGTGGCGCACTCGGGCGAGTGCAGCGCTGGGAGTGCAGCGGGGCTCCCGCTGCAGGTTCGGATCCTATATAGGGATGGCCGGTGCGCTCACTGGCTGAGCGTGGTGCGGGCGACACCAAGCCAAGGGTTGCGATCCCCTTACTGGTCACAAAAAAGACAAAAAAAAAAAAGAAATTAAAAAAATTAAAAAATTTAAAAAAATTAATTGCTATGACCCTATGTTTCAATTTCAACTCCTGAATTACTCCAGGGGGTTTCTAACTTGCCTTCCTATCTCATAGCTGAGTCTCCTTTGCAGAATCTTATTCACAGTTACCAAAGTGACGTTTTAAAATACAATACCTGATTATATTACTCTTTTTCTTGAAACCATCAATTGCTTGCTTTCATCTCAGGACAAAGTTTCAACTTTTTTGCATCCCATGCAAAGCATTTTATAAGTTTTATAATTTTTCCTTCCACCAATGCTCCAGCCCCATAATGCTCACTTGGTCTTCAAGACTCAGCTCATGAGTCAGCTGTTTTGTGGAAGATTTTGCTGGCCCCCTGTGCAGTACTTGAAACGTTCTGTCTTTTAGGGCACCCCCTAATTTCCAAGATTTGGAGCTTAATCCATGGTTCCCCCAGGCTTTCTATGCAGGCTCCTTTGGAGGTTCATGATGTCTGGCCATTCTGTAATCCCTGCATCCTAGTTGCTATTACTTGCTATTCTTGCCATACCAGCACATCTGCTGTGTACTTTTGCATTGATTTGAAGTCACGTTGCATCCTCCAAGCCCTTTCATCATTCTCTAGGACCCAAGCAGTCATTTCAACATCCACATGAATGACCCGTTCACCCCCAAAATGCTCTCAGACATGTTTCCTCTACTTAGACTTAATTATAAAGATAATCCCACACACTTACTAAATATTCTGTCACCAGAAAGCTTATCTCTATCTATTGAGTTTCTAACAGCTCATTCCTGAGATGCCTTTTCTCTGTTTACAACATTCCCTAACTGATATTATCATAAATTCATATGCTGACAATCAGTACATTTATCTCTCTAACCTAAACAGCCTTTTGGAGCTTATTCAACTGCAAAATCTGCATCTCTAGTTAGATGGCATATTTAACTAGGTCAAAACCAAATTCTTGAGCTTCTGCTAAATCCGTTCTTCCCTTAATTTTCCACATCTCTTAAATGGCACTGTAGTTCGTTCAGATACTCAATCCATATATTCAGGAGTTTTTATTGATAACTGCCTATCTTCAACCATTCTTATCTAATCTTTTATCAATCTTGACAATTCTATATTCAAAAAAGATCTAAAATCTATTTATCATCACTTAAACTGTCACACTGTGTCCGAGGAAGCATCATCTCTCTTTTGGACTTTTATAATAGCGTCAGAACTGGTCCAATGCTTTCACTCTGGCTCACAGCACCCCAAATGGTAGATTTTTAAATGTAATGAAGATCTTATTCTCCTGCTTAAAACCTTTCCATGGATTCCCACCACTGCAATTGAAAACAATTAAAAAAACAAAAATCAAACTTTTTTTCTGCCCTGATCCTTACTGCTGGTCTGCTCTAGCCCTTCACTGTCTCCCTGCTTCATTCTGAGTCCTTCTCTTAGGCTCACTAAGCTCCAGTCACTGGGACTTCAGTTCCTTGGAATGAATAATCCCTTTCAAGCCTTAGGACATTAATTTGTAGGGCTATTTCTCTTCCTCCCATTTTTGAGTGTCTTGTCTTTTTCTTTACTATAGGTTTTCGAATGCATATACAACTTCTCATGACATGGAGTGATATATCAAGACTTTATAGAATATCTCATGCTGTCATTCCCCCCTCTTCTTTTGCATATATCTCCTGGAAATGGAATAGCCTGAGGCAAGATCTGTGGTATTGTGTTCTCTTAATGATGTCAAGCCATGCTCTTTTTAGAAGATGGAATGGTTGAAGAATGACAAAGGGTCACAAAGTGCCCGATGGCCTGTAAATCAAGCTTCTTCAAGGGCCCTTGGACACACTGATGTTCCAACTACCTTGAAGGAATAGAGGAAAAATATTCTAACTGTAGAAACCTGTATTGTACTCCTTACTGCTCAGACTGCATCTGGAGTATTGGATGAAATTGTAGTCGTGCTCTTTAAGGGAGATATTGATGCCGATGAGATCTATTTTTCTGAGCAAAGTCTTCAATTCACAGAAAGGTAAGCTCTCCCAAAAGTAAACGAGTCCTTCATTTTGTGTGTGTTCTTGATATGAGGAATGTATATATTACTGTTTTGTTTTGTTTCTCTAATTCTCCTTTGGGATGCACATAGGGAAATAACTAAAGTAAATTCCTAATTGCTCAATCCCGGTCAGGATGCTCTGACTTCCCTTGAGGTTGATTTTAATTGTATTATGTATTTTTATATATTGAGAGAAACTCAAATCAAAATTCTTATAGATTAAATCATGTTCTCACAGATTTTACTTCAGTTCTAGTAAGATTAAAAAGGAAGGAAAACAAGAAAAGACCTGAGTGCATTGACAAGTCCATCAGTGAAATCTTCAATCAAGCTCTTTGGTAAGTGGTTTCCACCTCTAGGGCACACTTAGAGTTCTTGTCATGGGAGGAAATTTGGGGGATGCTAGCTCCCTTCACCATCTTCTCTACACATCTTCCACACCATGCTCATGTCATCATTTACCCTCCCATTCTGTCCCATGCCCGGCTTCCTGATATTGTGAACATTCTCCACTGGGGTCTGCTTGCCTCCTGTACTGGTCAGGGATTTCCATTCTAGCTGCATAATCCTAGCTCCACTTCAGACATACTGAATCAAAGTCTCCAGAGGTGGAACCAAGAAGTTTACATGAAAAATAAAAAGCAAAACTCCATAAATGATTCTAAAGCATACCCAGATTTAAGAACCATTGGCTTTATTTAAGCAGATCTCAATTTGAATTTTGCCTGAATGATATGGGCAAGTTATTTAACTCTCAAAGCCTTTAAACTAAATAATAATACCTGACTTTCAGGTCAATTTTACTGAAAGTTTACTATATGTTAGACAATACACTAAGAATCATAAATGGATTATCTTATTTCATTCATATAATAATGCTTTGAGGTAGGTATTATTATTAATCCATTTTGCAGAGGCTCACTGAATTCAGTAAAGTTAGTAAGGTGCCCAAGATTACACATCTGATGATCAATGGAGCCAGAATGCAAACTCGGGTGTCTGCATAAAGAATTGATCATAGTGCCTGACACATGGTCCACAGTCACAAGTAGCAATCATCATCATATAGTGTCAGGTTATCATTATCCTTATCATCATGTGCCTCAGGAGTTCACATCAAATGCTGATCCCCTCCTGGACACACAAAAATAGTGCATGCTTCACACCCTTTTCTGGATTTTTAGAGGATTAGAGGTTGACAAGTATCTGATAGAAAATTTGCTCTTATCTTAGAGATCTGTACTTACAAGAACCTGCAATCTCATTTCATAATCCTGAAATTTAATAAGGAAGTGAAGAAAAACTAGATTATTTTTCCAAGTAGAAAACCCCTTCACGAAAGCTTCAGGTAATATTCACTATTGGCAAAATGGGATTTCAGTACCCAGAAAAGCTCCTTCTATAATTATGGAGAATCGAGGAAGGTAGAGTGTTCTATAAGCTTTTTCTAACATGGACAGAGAGGAATTAGCTCATTGATACTGAATTTCCCCAGTCTAGATTACTAGCGGAGGCTGCTCATGGGCCAGTTCTTCCTGTGGACTTCAACCTTGCAATTTCAATTTCTGATTTTCAC